GATATATAATGCATTGGTCATTGTATGATGGTTAGGTGAAATTATGACCTCAACATTGTTTTCATTTGAAAAGTAAGCATGACATAGAGAGATGCTATTGAATGTCAAGTTGACAAGGGGTGGACTTGTGATGGCTAACCTTGGGTGTCAACTTGACTGGATCTGGGATTAACTGAAGTGAGAGAGATCTTCTTGATTGGACCATCTGAAGCTGGAAGACACACCCTAAATGTGGGTGTTACCTTCTGTGGCAGCCCATTTAAAAGGCGAAGGGAGAGGAGAATGCTGGCTTCTTGCTGCTTGCCTTCTCTCTCACTGGTGAGTTCATCTTGCTGCTGTAGACTGAAGAGTAGGTGATCTTTTGGAGTTCGTCAGACCTTCAGTGCCAGATTGGGACTACTGAGACATCCAGGCTTGTGGACTGAGTGACTACAAATTCTCAGCCTCTCCAGTGTGGTGCAGCTATTGTTGGACTATTCGGACTCTATCCTGTGAGCTAAGCTCATAAATCTCTATAATATATATTCATTCTGCCGGTTCTGTTTCTTTGGAGAACCCTGACTAATACAGTACTGGCACAAAAATAGGCCCATAGATCAGTGGAACACAATTGAAGATCCAAATATGAGTAAGTGCACTTTCAGCCACCTGATATTTGACAAAGGGGCCAAAAATATCCACTGGAGGAAAGACAGCATGTTCAGCAAATGGTGCTGGCAAAACTGGATCTGCAGGAAGTAGAAACTGTTATGCTAAGTCAAGTAACACAGACTCAGAAAAAAAAAATCGACATATGTTCTCCCTCATATGCCTTCACCTTGAACAAAAGTCAATTCCAAATGGATCAAAGACCTTAATGTAAAGCCTGAAACTTTGAAACTGTTAGAAGAAAACTTTGGCAAAAACCTACAAGATATAGTTGTAGGAAAGGACTTTCTAAACCAGACATCAATTGCTCAGGACAGAAGGGCAAGAATCAAAAAATGGGACCTCATTAAACTAAAAAGCTTCTGTACATCAAAAGAATCAACTAATGAAGTGAAGAGAAAACCCACAGAATGGGAGAAAATCTTCACCAGTGACACATCTGTCAGATTTAACACCCAGAATATATAACAAAACTAAAACCCCAATCCTCAAACAAAAGGATCTAATCTTTTTCCACCAAGATAAAAATTACTTGTTAAGTTTTTCAGCTTGTCTTCCTCCACTTATAGACAGTAGCTAATGGCCAAGAAGCATCTTAAAAGATGTTCAACATCACTAGTAATTAGCAAAATGTAAATTATAACCACTTTAAGATTTCATCTTACCCCAGTCAGACTGGCTAAGATCAAGAGAACAAATGATACCAAACGTTGGAGTGGATATGGGGAAAGCGGAACACTCATCCACTGCTGGTGGTGCTGCAAACTTGTTCAACCCCTATGGGAAGCAGTGTGGAGAACTCTTAAAAAAGTACAGATGAACCTACCATTTGACTTACTCACTCCTTGGCATATACCCAAAGAACTCATCCTATTGCAGAGACACTTGTGCATCCATGTTTGTTGATGCTCTTTGTTAGTCCTACAACCTACTGACAAATTATACATAGTAGATCAAGGACTATATGTCTAGGTAAGGTTTATCTGAGAACAATGATCTTAGCCCAAGATTTGTCTACATGACACACAGTAATTAAAAGTGCCAGACTGGTGGAACTAACCTTCTTGGGTGTTTAGCAGACATACTTTGAGGCCTATACTAATTTAGTCAGAAGGACATAAAGGACAGTTTTTGCTCCCTGCCCTCCTAAGTCGACTAGTTCCAGGGGACTATGAGCATCTCTCAAAATGTCCTACATTGCTAGTGGGTCACCTGTCCTCCTGATCAAGGAGGCCGAGGAGACCCCACCAGATGGACTAGAACCAGTGTCCAGTCTACAAAGAGGAGGGTCAACACAGAGGAATCATTTCCTCCATGCTTCCGAGCGAAGCCAGCCATGGTCAAGCAGGACCTTTGACTTATCTTCATATAGGTGGAACGAAAGGAGCCAGGGGCTCCTCCCAAGCCCATGTGACCCCTGAGGAACAGATCCTCAAATGACCTTAAGAGTAAAAATAAATTGGTTTATCTGGGCCAACTGTATGGCCTTAAACACTCAAAAGGAAAGTATAACCAAAGATTAAAGGGGCCAATATAATTTTTTAAGAGACCATATGTATAACTAAAGGCTACATAACAAGTAACAATGCCAGATAGGAGATACCTTCTTTTGAGTTGTTGGCCAGGGTGGCCATAGGGACTCCCAGATAGTAATGTAGCATAGAAGTGGGAAAATGAACATCAGACCCCAATCTTATCTACGGGAATATTGACAACTGATTGTTGCTAGATGAGGAACAGCTGACCTTCCTAAAACAAAGACCTCTAGATAGGCTGACTAGATTCACCAGATGGACAAGTAGTGGGGAATGGCTGGGGTGCTGACAATACAGCAAAGAGTAGCAGGGTTATCACAGTGTAAGGGCTGTAGTGGGGGGAGGGAAGCTATGGGAGGATGCCATGTAGGAAGTGGGTGTATAGTAGAATAAGATGGTTTGGGATGTTCTGTGTGATAGACACACACACAAAAAAAAAATCAAAAAAATTTTTAAAATGTATTATATTTGAGGAGGAAGCATGGAAATTTACATCATGTTAATTAGTTGAGGTGATAAACATTACCATTGAAACCTACCCAATGACTTTACAGACATACACAGGTGCCAAGGATCCAAGTGCAACCGATCATGACTAGTAATAATCAGATACATACAGATTAGAGATGCACATGCCAACATCTCAGTGTTAGTAGCAAAAACAATGAGTCTTTCTGCAAGGAACAATATATTCTAAAATGAAATGGATTTTTTTTTTTAAGTTTAAAAACTCATTCAATTTTATGTCTTATAGGGCTTATACTGAGTTCAATGTTGTATAAGTGTATTAATTCAACTGTGAACCTAGAAACTTGTAACCACTTGTGAAAGAGATGTAGTCTTGCTCTGGAGTGTGTTACTGAATATGTTAAAGCTGTAATGAAATGCTTCTTCTAATTATATAGTTATTAAAAACTTTTTAAAAAAATTACTTCATATTAAATAGTAGAGGTGATAAACATTACCAGTGAAATCTACCTGATGATTTTATATCCATACTCAGGTACAAAGGATCCGAGTGTAACCAACTGTGACTAGTTATAATCTGATACAGAGAGATTAAAGACATATGTGCAAATGTGTTAGTAGCATTAAAATGTAGGAAACAGCATATCTTAAAATGAAATGGAGATCTTCTTTAAAAGGTAAAAACCCATTCAATTTTATGTTACAGGGTTTATACTGCATTCAAAAATGTACAACTGTATTAATTGAACTGTGAACCTAAAAATTTACAGTCACTG